ACCGGCCCCTGAAGTGGATGCTTGGTGTTCGACATCCCGAAGGACAGCTTGCCAGATGGCTGCAGAAGCTAAGCATCTATGACTTCGTCGTCGAGCATCAACGTAGACGTCGCGGAAATGCTGATGCATTGTCCAGGAAATGCTTCCCTAACTGTTTCCTCGATAGAGGAAATCAGCCCCGGCACTAAGGTAAACATTGAAGATTTGGGATAGCCCCAGATGAAGCACGTAGGGTGCAGCGTGGTGTAGACAACTTCCCGGCAGGCAAAGGACACCCCACCATTGGAGAAGGCAACTGGGTCCCCGGATCCGGTAGCTTCTCTACAGGTGACAACAGCCCAGCCCCTGGAGACAGTAGCCTCACTGCCGAAACCAACACTGAAGGCAGTGCATCAACCAGGGGGAGATGCAGAGCCAGGAGGTTCCAGGTGGCGTCCAGATGCCAATGCCACAGAGGTTAGTTATGAGCAGCTGGCCAGGTCACAGCGATGTGATGATGCCTTGAAGGAAGTGCTGCAGTGGGTGGTGCATGGTCGACGGCCGTCCTGGAAGAGTGTGGCATCCCTGAGCAAAGAAATCAATTTCTGGTGGGCTCGCTTTGAGCAGCTTTTGGTAGAGCAAAAAGCCCTGTGTATCCTGTGGGAGCCCAGTCAACCAGCTGAAAAGCCCCGACTGAGAATTTTGTTACCCTGGAAAATGCACCCTGCCATAATGAGGCATTTTCATGGCGAGAAAACCGGAGGACATCTCGGTGTTGCAAAAACCTTTGCAGAACTGTGCAGAACCAACTTGTACTGGTCTTCTATGCGTCAGTCGGCTCGCCGCTGGGTCCAGCGGTGCCTACAGTGTCAGAGACGGAAACTGTCCGCTAGGGCCAAGAGAGCGGAGTTGAAGCACTACCAGGGGGGTGCACCTTTGGAAAGAATAGCGGGGGGCCCCTCCCTCCCACTGGTCGGGGTAAGTGGTGGGAGACTATTTCACAAAGTGGACTGAGTGTTATGCAGTTCCAGATCACACTCGTGGATGAGTTCGTCGCCATGTTCGGTGTTTCCCTGGAAGTCCACTCCGACCAAGGGAGGGAATTCAAATCTGAGGTCTACTTAGAAATGTGCCCAATCCTCGGCCTCAGAAAGACCCGCACCACTCCATACCACCCCAGGTCTAACGGAATGATTGAGCGTTTCAACCAGACGATCGAAGCGATGCTGAGCCTGTGGGTAAATAAATCACAGACTGAATGGGATGAGCATTTAGTCCTCCTTGCTATGGCGTACCAGTCGGTAGAGCATGACACCACAAAGGAGACACCCAACGCGATGATGTTGGGCCGCGAGGTGAGGATGCTGGTAGACCTACTGTTAGGTGCCACCCCAGAAGAGACGCATATTAACCCATGTGAGTATGCCCAAAATCTTCAAGAGAAGTTGAGGTTGGCCCACGAGGTTGCCAGGAAGGCCAGCAGTACACAAATGAGGGCCCAGAAGAAGCATTACGACAGGAATGTACTGCGGGTGGTCCACAACAAGCGAGATGTGGTGTGGCTCCATTGCAAGGCAAGGAAGAGCAGAATTTTCCCGAAGCTGACCCTGAGCTGGACTGGTCCCTTTGTCGTACTGGAGAGACTGTCTGATGTGGTGTACAGGATTCGGAAAATCCCTCGTTCCAGTCCGCAAGTGGTTCACGCAGACAGGCTGAAGGTATGCGAAGGAGTTAGCGCAGAGGACTATGGATTCAAAGAGTTTGAACTGGCATCACCATCAAGACAGCCAGGCAGCCCCGCCGCCGGCAGCCTCGCCCCCGGTGTGGGCCATCCCTCCGCCGGAGCGGGTAGCCCCGTCCTTGGCGTGGGCGGCCCTGCCGCCAGTGGTGCGGGTAGCCCCGCCCCGGCTATGGGCGGCCCCTCCACTGGGGTACAGGGCGGCCCCTCCGCCGGAGCGTTCGGCCCCGCCGCCGGAGCGGGCAATCAAAAGCATGTGACTTGCTCAGATCCGAACAGAAGCACACCGCGAACGCGCCGAGGCAGAGCAGTTCGCAAGCCCCCGCGATACTTGCAGCAAGTCTACCTTGCCCTAACAGTTATAAGCCTGCAGAGGGCGCTATCGACCATCATCATTCACATATATATTGAGCTGGGAATGGGACAGGAACAGACAGTAATGGAACAACGTACAACTGCAGAGTCTGCGGACAATAGTACGCGTCGTCTTAATACAATAGACGCAGAAATGAGAAAGCAGCGCATTAAGGGCGGTCCTTTCGTTGTGGACAGTGCCCCCAGACTTACAGGCCGGCTGACTACCTGGCTCGACGCGCCAGATCCCCGAGGTGGCAGCCGGTGGAGGGCCAGTGGTCGAAGGATCAGCTGTGGGGGGCGTCACGGTTGCCGCACCAGCTGCAGTGAGGAGAATTTCTCCGACGAAAGGCAACTCGTCCGAAGCAAGGCTGTACCTTCGGGGCAAGTGGTACGTACAGGGCAAACCGTTGTGGAAACAGCAGGGTTGAGTAGGTGCTCACCAGCCCGAGAATTACAACATGCAGAGGTGACGACTTCAGAGGCCACTTCCCAGACAGAACCGGTGATAATGCATAATGACAGAGGAGTTCTCCACTTCTACCAGGGAAACCAGGACTGAACCAGACGTCACTCAAGTATATAGAGAAACTGAGGCCGTTGGATTCCGAGAACCGGGGGACATTTGGTAAAGGACAAGGCACCGTGGCGGCCTGGGAGAGGGACAGCAAACTAGGAGGCCCGTTAGACCCATCAAGCTGTAATGGACTTTTTGGGTTGTCCTCGGTGATTGGTGTGTTTTTGCTTAAATTAGGAACCAAATTGCGGCCTAATTGGACATTAACCAACATTCTCGTGGACACCCCAGTTGAGCTAAAATTGATGGACTCTTATTCAGACAACTTTCTAAGAGTGATTTGTATAGTTAACTGTAACTCGATTTCGTGTTTTCTCATCATGCTAATTAAACGATAATTAAATAACTTTTCAAAAAGATTTAATAAGAAGGAAAAGTGTTTATTGCCCCTTTTCAGCAGAATAGGCCATTTTTGGGAAGGGGCAGTGTAGTGGACTATTTGTTTTCCGTAGTTCCAAGTCAACGGCGCCACCGCCGGCGGCGGCGCGCACCTGGCCTGCGCACGCTCCGGAAATAGGTAGCTATAAATAGATCGCTTCAGTTGGCTTCTTTTGTACCCGGGTACGGGGGGATTCGATTGCAAATCCCCCAACTCAAAAAGTGGAGGGGGATATATCCCATCTGTGGGAATTTACGCCCATGTGCAACTGGTGATGACATATGGCATAACAGTAGAACTAGGCCCACGCCTACTGGCATCTCAACTAACGTTAGGCCTGGTGGTGGGCCTACCAGTGGGCCGAAGGGCCCACCGCCGCTGATTTTTGTTGGTGATATGTAACGCATCCACCACTAGCACTCTGTCGTGAGCGTTGAGTAAACGGTTCCCAGTCTCCTCGGTTATAATGCTTTCTACTGATAACTAAACCCTCTCAAATTAAAGCAGCAAGCTATGACTTCTTTGACACACTGGATTCGAGATCATATTTACGCGCGCAATCATCGTCATCGTAGCGCCAGCAATTGCCGCCCTCAACGTTCGCTTTTGCTTAGTTCGTTCCTTTTAAATTTATCTGTATCACTTTCTCGATGTCCTTTGTTTATGCACCTTTTCTATCGTTAGTTTTTAAACTTTGAGCCTGTTTGTTTTTTATTTAGAGCATTCGTTTTGTAAAATATTAACTATGGCCCTGTGGTGCAACATAGTTTTTACTTCTTTTAAAATAATAGTTCTGGTTCGTTTTCTTTGGTCATAGATTTCTCTTTTGTTTTCATTTTTTCTTGTCCTTTTTCATTTGGGGCCAAACGATCTCCTTTTCAAAATATACTGTGTGTGTGCGTGGGGGGGGCACTTTTAATGCTAATGAGATTCAATTCTCACTTGAATTAGCTAGTAGACTGCACTTAGAGTGCTCAGTCATTTCAAAACGACTGGATTCGGTTCGTTCGTGCCTTTTTCACCAGTTTCCGCCCAGGTGTATAATATACATAATATACATGTATACATTTCTCTGGCTTTTACATTTTATTTTATTTTCCACAAACTGTGTGTTATGGGTTGATTGTTAATTTCAATATCATCATTAACTTAAGTCTTATTCAAAATTGATTTTTCAAGATGTATTTTTGCCTTGGGGAGATGTTAATTTATATAACGGGTTTTGCCCTTACCCAACGTATATATTAATAATAAACACTTTGTGTTCAGTGCTTGCTTGAGAGCTAGCGAAAAAAGTCACAAGCCTACTCGGGCGGGACCCGAACCCACGACCTCCCGCCCACCAGCGCAGACGTCCCATCCACCCAACCACCGAGCCCACCAGGGTCGGCCGGCCGGCCCGTGTCAGGTGAAGCAGCGGGTACTGCGAACTGTGTTTATTATTAATATATACGTTGGGTGAGGGCAATACCCGTTATATAAATTAAAATTGATTTCATTGTCACTCTTAGTTTTAGTTATATGCTTATTTTGTTATTTTATTATTAGCTGTTGATTTGATTAGTCTTTGCTATTTTATCTAATTTGTATAGAATTCCTGTGTTGTTCAACTGCTGTTCAGTTTCTGTTTTATCTTTTTCCTTTCTGTTATAATCTGTTTTAAATTGTTTAAATTAAATTCATATTGCCCTTACGAACAGCAGTTTTCAACTGACAAAGCTACCCTGTGGAAATAAAACAGAAATGCACTTATTCGAAACGGAAGATTCTGAGTTTCCGACGTAGCTAGCCTGTATCCTTTGATCTAAAAGAAAACGTGGCTTCACAATCACAGCCTGCCGTTTCAAACACAACTTCAACAATGCGGATACTTGTAAAGCCAAAAATATTCCAAGCCAGTCGTTTCGAAAACGCCGCTCCGCACCGCTGCGCCGCCATGGCCATATCGCCACGCGACCTACCGTGGTATACAATAGGGTTTGCCGCATAAGCATACTCAAAGTACCTGTAGTCGTCGAGGGCAGAGGATCTTTAGTTGTGCGTGTGGGACACGTACTGCTAGTGCTACATGTATATGTACAAATTACGTTTGAAATTTGACATCCTGGCGGCCAGCGGTACTTTATGGTCGTGAGTAGTACTGCTACTAGTACTAGGTATGGGCCCCTATTGAACTTAAACTCAAAGGATACTCCCAGAACTGTGGGGTCCGACGTCTGCCCCGCTCCCATGCTCGCACGAACCATGGGTCCGATGTCCGCCCCGCGCTTATCCTACGAATCACGTTCGTGGGAACGGGGCTGATGTCGGACCTTACAGTTCTGGGGTTACTCAAAAGGGTTGATGTACTGTTATTGTTAACACGATATGATTATGAAAATGGAGATTTCCATATTCTATAGGCATTGGTGTTACTTACCTTTCGATTTTTTTAAATAAAATGACTGACGTTTTTACCTTGAGAATCTGTTGCTTATTTTCACGGCAGCTCCAACATGTCCAATTTAGGCTATTTTAAGGTAGTTTTGACAACATTTAAACGGTGGCACCTTTGTTTTTTGTTGTAATTTCACAAAATTGGCTGATTACATGGTTTAAGATTCACTGCAGCTTTCAATCCACTGACTTGTTTCATGTTTTGAGTCATCTGCTTTCAAGTGCTTTGTAAAAAATCTAGAAAAAATAAAATGGCATTTGCAACAGCTAAATCGTGGAGGAATAAAACAAAAAACATGGATCTTGTCATTTATCTTGCGTAAAAATCCACGAACTACCAGGCGTTCATAGTAAGTGAACAACACGCGCGGGGTCAGGGTGGAGAACAGGCGCCTGAGAGGTTCTCTTAAAAAAGAGCAGTTTTCGACGACCATGAGTAATTAGTAGATTTACCTTGGCCTCAGGGTAGTGCATCCACAGTGTAGCAGTGCAGATTCATGGAAAAAAAATCATTAAGTATGCAGTCGACTCCGATACAACTGTGCAACAAATACATGTGATGCACATGCATGCGCGATCATGCTCAATAACTTTCACGTCAGTTTACCCAGGAGTGAAAGTCTAAAAATTCCAATCTTAGTTGACTAACTAATGATTACGGGCAAAGAGGAAATGACCCTGAAATATAGGAGATTGAACATGTGGAAATTGTATTTTTTGACAAAAATCCTCTCACTATACAGCTTAAAAATGGCCACAATTTTTGGATCATACGCTTGTTTTTTTGGGGGGAGGGTGACTTTGAGCTTGCAATGTTTTTACTTGAGGAAAATCTTTTCCTCAAATAAAATTCAACTTCAAAATTGATTCACTATATTTTCTACTTTATAACTTACACTCAATTTCCTTTATAAGAACTTAATAACAACCTCGGTCAATCTGTAAATTATTTCTACCCAGAATGCTGTTGTTTTAGAAAAATAGACATTTTGTTCTCTTTTTTCGTGGTGATCGGTCGACCATTGCTAACTTTCATTTTACTTCGTACACCACATCAGTTAACAGGTGCCGATTTTCTTATGCGTAGTTTGTGTAGATGTTGTGGGAGTCTCCTTGAATGAATGGGTAAATAAGCAGCTAAAAACACACAGCCAGAAATTCACAAAATGCATTGTAAACTGAAACTAGCTAGCTCATCTGTCTGTTGGCTAACAGAACAGGAGGCTTTTTCGCATCAATCATGATTGAACATCAATCTACTGCACAAACCTAATGGCGTAAATCCGTGATTATGACAATTTGGATCCAAGGTTTGAACCCAATCAGGCATGTACTTCGGAAATAACATGCTTTAAATAAAATGTAAATTGACTCCACATCCGATGACGTCATCAGCACATCAGGCACAAATTCCTCTTAAGCACTCCCTTTGCAAAATATCTACAAGATTTGAACCGGATCGGACACGTACTTCACGAGATGTAGGGCCTTAAAGGTTGCACCTTTGATGTCACATGACTTGTCTCCTGATGACGTCATCATCACATCAGTTCAATATTTCTCTAAAGCACTTCCTTTTCAAGATATCTCCAAAAGTTGGACCTGATGAGACATCTACTACAAGGGATATAGGGCCCTAAAGAGTGCACCTTTAATGTCACGTGACTTATTCCCTGATGGCATCATCAGCACAGGATGTGTACATTAGTCTATAACACTTTCCTTTCCAGTTATCTGCCAAAATTCAACCAAACACATGTAGGACATGTCCTTTAGGATATGGGCTGAAATAAATATGTAAAAATCAATAATAAATCACTTGATGACGTCATCATGACGTCATTCTTCTAGACACATCTACACATAAGGGTCCTTCATTGATACAAGTTTGATGAAGATCCAAAGTTGTAAAAGCACTAAAGTTGTGTGTAGAAAAAACAGGCACAAATGAAATGGGATTTCGAGGAGCAGAAGAGGAAGGAAAAACGAGAGCTTATCTGTCTGTTTGCCAACAGAACAGAGGGCTTTTTCGCATTGTTTTGCAATTTTGAACAATTTGTGTATACTGGAAAAGTAAAGGCAAAAAATTAGTCAGTGAATATAATTTAAAACGAATGTTCAACAGAGAATGTTTTATCAGTGTAACTTTGATTTATGTGATATAGTGATGATGTTCATGTGACTGATCATATGATGATGTCATCTGCAAATTGTGTGAGTTTTTGACTAAAACATTTGCATTTATAGATACAATAGATAAAAGGTTTCAGCCGAATCTGACATGTAGTTTAGAAGATATAGTGACTTAAATAATAAGGGAATAAAAGTGTGGCGGAGCGTGTATAAGATACACTCAAGGTTTCAAAGCGATTGGGACTCTGTTTAGGAAATATAATGCTTTAAAGAGCGCCCCTTCAATGTCACGTGCCTGCCACGTGATGACATTGTCAATACATCATGCCAGTTTTCATCTCAAACACATCCCTTTGTGGATACATGCAAGGTTTCAACCCGATCGGACACGTAGTTTAGTTAATGTAGCCGTTTCAAATCTGTGTACAAAAAGCTATGGGAAAAATAAAGATTGAAAATTTCAAAATAATTTACATGATGACTTCATCATGATGTCACTACTTTGGTAGAATATTGGCCTGATCATTCTGTGCTTGGTGTAGCTTTTAGACCGATTCAAGTCTGCTAGCTGAAGATATTGCAACTTGAAATCTATGTACAAAGTCTATGGGGAAAATTAAAGATTTAAAAATGATAATGTCATGATGACGTCATTAATTTGGAAAATACTTTGCATGTGGGTCGTCATTGGGTGTAAGTTTAATAATGATTGAAGATTGCTAAGTGACCAAAACCGTGCCTCAAAAACGTGTACAACGTGAATGGGCCGAAAAAAATATTGAAAAAT